CCCTCCCCCAGACCCGCTCCCACAGGTTCATGTCTTGGCTGTTTGAGGGGCCCCAGATGCTGCACCTGGATGCAGCATCCCAGGCAGGGTCTCTCCCACCAGGGCAGAGCAGAGCAGAGCAGCAGAATCCCTTCCCCTGTCCTGCTGGCCATGCTGCTTTTGATGCAGCCCAGGATACAATTGGCTTTCTGGGCTGCAAGTGCAGACTGCCAGCTATGTCCAGTTTTTCATCCAAAAGTACTCTCGAGTTCTTGGCAGGGCTGCTCTCAACCCCTTCACCCCCCAGCCTCTAGCAATACCAGGAGTTGCCCTGAGCCAGGTGGAGACCTTGCAGTTGGCCTTCCACTGTCACAAACAAAGACTAATATGTTTGTTTCCAGTAATTCTGGAAGACATTTAGCAGTTATGAAGAAAACAGCAGTTGTTACATTAGCTAGACATCTCTGGCTTGAACTTGCAATGTAAAATGTAATACAATCCTGCATGAAATAATCTTTCCTCCTAAAATTTACACATAAGTGTGATTTCTATAATGCTCCACGGAAAACTACTTGGTATTGTATTTCGGGATGAGGAAGCAAAAGCAGTAAAACTCTTGCCTGACGATAATGATGTTGAAAACAGAATTTTCCATGTCTTTTTGAACATTTCAGAATTTCCACAGGGCTGCTCTTCAAGTAAAACAGATGTGTCTTTGCTATGTGTCATTACCAATTAAGCAAACACAGTAATATGATTAGAAACGTAACTGGTTCAGCACACGTATCAGTAACCTCCAGCTTCTCAATTTTCCTTCTTACTGGCATGAGTCACCTTAGCAAAGCTGACAAAACTTCAACAGTGACAACTGCCCACAGCAACCTCTAGTTATCAGATTCCAAGGAGAAGTTAATGAACTACTCAGGTAACGGTAACTACATGACATCTGAACAGCAAAAATAAATTCAACAAACAAAACCCCTCAAAAACAAATGAACAAACCCCACAATGCAAAAAAAACCCCACAAAAATATCCCCCCAATACACAAAACAAAAAGGGTCTTAAAAAACACAAATAAACAAAAATAATTTAAAAAAAATCACAAAGCTTGCTAGCCAAACTAGTTAATGATTAATAAACAAAGCCCTACTACTGAAACAAAAAGAAACATGGTGATAAGCAATCACAGCAGAGATGTCACAGACCAGGGTGATAAACTGTTCAGGACAGAATAAAACAACCATAGCGTTAACAAGGTTTTATACAGTGAATAAAAACATAATGACTTTTTCTAAAACCATTTTCATAGTTATTCCATTGAATAAAAGCTGACAGCTTTAGAAGGCATTCCTTTTCATATTTACATGCTTAGTTTTCTTTAATTTTCTGAAGTGTGTAGGCCAGATAGGAACACTTAAGAGATACATGTAAACATGTTTTGTGCAATAAGCCCAATCATGTACTTACATACATACATACCTAGTCCTATATCTAGATGTGTATGGCATGAGCAAAAATAAATGGGACTGCATAAAACTTACTTGCCTAACTTTTGGGTATTGGCTATTGATATTATTATTATAGTGCCACTGTTGTAATCCTTCTTTTAAAATTAATCTTGATTCATAATACTCTGCTGATGCATATATACATGAATACAGAGCACCACCAACATTGTTTAGCTTTTTAGTAGATTTATAGCAATGCTGTAATTCAGGAATAATAGACTGTATTATTAAAATATCTTATTCTTTTGATTAAGGACTGAAGTAAAATTTGTTGAAGAAGGAATTGACAGAATACAGGATCACAGAAAAGCCCGGAATTTAAGTTTTCAGAAGCCTCTTCTGTGATTTACTCCATTTACTTCCATTTACTCTTTCCACATCCATAAAAAAAAGAAAAAAAGGTTGCTATAAATTCTACCAGTTTGCTTCTATGTAGAAACAAGTCACATGTTCTAAGTAGTTGAAAAACGCTGTTGCTTTCCTTATGACTAAAGCCTGTTTTCCCCCCCAAGGAAGAAGAGGAATTTTCCTCTGTACACAAAAAAGATTAAAGAGAAATTAATCCACCACACTTCACACCAAAAATCAAAAAGATGAAAGTAAGGATAAAACAGCCATACATGTAAGGAAGACACAGTCTCTTCTCGTTGCTAACCTCTGCAGCCAAAATCCTCTCAAAAGCCGTCTCTCTCTTTAGTGAATGTACTTAAATTACAGCACATTATTGATGTTATGTCTACAACTAAAGCTCCATTTCTGGAACTGGTAAGCACAGAAATGCACTCAAAGAAGGTGCAATCAAGGACGGTTAGTCATAATGGAGGGATCCATGCAAACAATTTAAGCTGTAGTATTAGTTCTTTATTCTGCCAAGAATGTTTTCGTGACTCTGTATATCCTCTGCATACTATATGAACTGTAAATAAGAGGCAGACTGACTAGTCATGAAATAAAAGGATTAATTTTTAAAAGTTGCCCAATTTCCAGTATGTGCTCAGACATGCCTGGGATAGGGATACTGCTACGATACCTAGACTAAATTTTTTCCACTGGGTTAAAAAAGAAAGGAAAAAAAAAAAGGAAAAAAACCCCAAAAACCAAAAAAACCCCACACCCCCGAGATCGCGAGCGTTTAAATTCATTCAAGGGCTGCTCTGACGGCGTTACCGAGGCAAGAAGCCAGGTCACTCTGTCACAGCTCGCCCCGCAGCACACGCTCCCACTCTGACCACTGACACTTTTTCGCTTCTGCCTTCCAGGCAGGATTTCCCGGCTTCGAACAAGGCGGGCATGAGCCCAGCAGCGGGACCTGGCTGAAGCCAGGCCATCGGGCAGCTCCAAACTTTACGGCGGTCCCGGCCGCCCCAGGGCAGCTGCCACCGATACCCTCACCCACCCAGCGAGGTCCCGGGCGAGCCCCCCGCCCTCCGCCGGCCGAGAGCCCGGCCCGGAGGCGGCCTCTCTCCCCGCTTATGCCCCGGCCCGGCGGCCCGCGGCTCCCGCCATCCTTTCCCCACAGCCAGCCCCGTGCGCAGTAACCTCGGTAACCTGCCGCTTGTTCACCTCCGCACTCCGGCAGCTCCCTCCTCCCGCTCCCCTCGCCTGCCGATGGCACCGAGGCGCCCCCGGAGCCGCCTCCCGGCCCGGCCCCCCCGCGATGCGCGGCGCTGCCGACGCCCCGATGTGCGGAGCCTCCAGGCTCCAGCCGTGAGCGGGCTCCGCTCGCCGAGCCTTCCCGCAGCCCCCGCCCGAACCTCGCCCAGCGCCGCGGGCACTCACCAGCTCCTCACAGGGGCTCTCCCCGGCCCTTCCCGGCGCCTCCGCGCCCGCCACTCAGAGCTTCCATGTGCCTAGCGGCCGCTCCTCTCTCCCGCTCCACTCCGGGTACGGCGCCCTCTGGAGTGCCCGCTCCAGCGGGAGCCTCACGGGCAGCCGGGGCTGTCACTCAGCTCGCCGGGGCCCCCGGCGCGGGCACGGCGCTGCGGCTACCGCCTGCTCGCAACCCCTTTGTTCGGCGGCGGCGCTGACAGCTGCTGCCGGCGGCGCTCCGTGGGCCCGGGCGGCCGCTCCGCCTCGGCGCCTCCCCGCCCGCCAGCCGCGCCTCCTGCTGCCAGCCCGGCCCGGCCCGCGGCCCCGGCTTGTTCCCTCCTTCTCCGCCCGCGGTCAACAACCAGCGGCGGCAACACAAGTTCAGGCCGCCGACCCGGAAACTCATCGGCAGCCGAGGCCCGCGGGGCTCCGACGGGAAGCGGATCCACCGCGCCGTGGGAGGGAGCGGGGCGGGGACGGGGCGGAGCAGGCCGGGACGTGGGGCCTGGGCGGCGGGCGCGGCGGGAGGATGCGGCGGGCAGGCGGCGGCAGGCGCCACCGAGGAAGGCAAGGCAGGCAGGCAGGCAGGCAGGGAGGGAGGGAGCGGGGCCGGGGCGACCTCCCTCACCCCGGTCCTGGGGCGGTCCTGAGCGCGGCGGAGCCGCTCCCGCCCCGCGGGGATTCAGCGGGAGCGCCCCTCGGGGGCCGCTGCCCGGCGGCTTCTGGGCACGGCCGGGGAAGTTCGGGGGCGTTTCCCGGCCGGGCGGTGCGGAGCGGGAGATGCTGGGGCGCGGGGCCGTCTCCCGCTCGTCGCCCTCCGGCCGTGCCGAGCCGAGGCAGCGCTTCCGATGCCCCCGGCCTCCCTCCTCCCTGGCCGGGGTGGCGCGGCCGGGAGTCCCGGAGGGAGCCGCCCTTCGCCTCCTCCCGGCGGGTCCTGCGGGAGGCGGGAAGGGTCGGCGGTGCTGGGAGAAGCCTGGGTGAGGTATCTGCCTCAGACCGGCAGCTTTTGGAATGGGGCCGCGTTGTTAGCACCTGGGTTCGGTCAGAATCAGTTCGTGGTGGTGTTTTCTGAAGCTGGTTGTGTTCATTGTCACATCCTTACAACACACCCCTCCCTCCCCGCCCCCTTCATCTTCACTTTTTGATTTCTGGAGTCATACTGCAAGTCTCAGCGCTGTCGGTTTCACAGACATGCTCATTCTGCACTGGATTTAGTGCAGAGCAGTGGCAGAGGGAGTTCCCCCACTGCTTATTCACCTGTCCCGCCACCTGGCATCCAGGTGACCCGGCCGTACCAGTGCAGGTTCCCTCCACACAAGCCTATAACCCACACCCTGTGTATCCAAGCACGTGTAAGGAAACCCAAGGAGCAGACCATTCCCAGCTGTGCATAAGGGATGGTTGTTTCTTTTTCCGTTTAAAATTCTTAATATCCTAAAGTAGGAGTTCTTGTAAGTCAGTATGTTGCTTCTTTCATGTTTTTAGATGCTACTGTAAATGGCATTCTAAATACTAATGTAAATACTGTAAATTTGCTACTGCAAATCATTAGCTGTTTCTCTTCAGATATTATACTGTTCACATACCATCATTGAATCCTCTAACTAATGTATTTATCTTAACTGACGGTGAAAATATCCATGCTTATTATTGTTATTTATATTGAGGTTTTTTTGATATCTTTTCAGGTAGTCTTGATCCCAGGAAAAATACTGGACTAAGGGCATAGGAATCTGAAGACCTCTATTTCTTCTAGAAGAGGTGGAGAAGCTAGAAACACTAAAATTTAAAATATGTGGAGGAATTAATCTGCAAAAGGCATGTGCTTACTGATGCTATGGAATGAAAGAGTGTTCATTTGCAGATGAAGAAAATGATCAGGTGGAAATGGTCAGACATAACCTTCTTTCTGGAAGTTGATATGTGATTTTGCTTTACGAGGTTTTCCATATAATTTCCATACAATTTTGTGATTTTAGGAATTGTCACCTTGGTTTAACAGAAGGGTAAGCAAAGCTTTTTCTTAAATCTAAATGCTTCTATTCACTTTTTTTGGAAACTAAAGATTTATTCCTTTCAGAAACTTGATTTGAATGAACTGTGCACCAGTTTGCAGCCTCACTGAAATAAAACTAAGCAAATGAATCCATATTATAGTTTATTTTTATCAGCTTGGTTAGTTGGCTGTAGGCAAGACTGTGTTCTACTTTGCATGGGTAGATGAAAAGCAGGTATTTTCTTGAAATCCACACAGAACTAATAGAAGTGCAATACTTGTTACAGCACAATTTATAAATCACAGTGCTTGTCACTTTGAAATGGCTTTCTTTTTCAATTTCACATCTTTTCCAGAGTTCAAAATTTCTTTGGCCTTTTGTCTGGTTTGCAAAATGGGGAAGATAGTTTCAAAGTGGAAAAAATAATACATTGCTTTTATTTTAAAGATGGGTTAGAGAACAAGCTTTTTTGTATCAAAATGATGTCCTATTTTCCCCTTTCATGAAAAGGAAGCAGAATTATATCAGCCATTGGCATTTCTCCAGCTAAAAAACAATAAATGAATAATGCAAAGCATCAGTGGATATGAGCACTGCATCCTGAAGTTTAGTGTAGTGTTGGATTGTGTTGTGTTTTTTTCAGCTGAACTTTTTCTTCCTGTTTATTCATTATTTCCAGTGGTAAAGTAAGAAGGAGAGATGGGAAACCCAGAAAACATTGGAGATGCATACGTTGCTGTGATTCGTCCAAAAAATACTGCTAGCCTCAATTCTCGGGAATATCGAGCTAAATCCTATGAAGTAAAACTATTTATTTTCTTTATGTATTAGTTATTTGGCTTTTTAAATAGTATAGTAAATAAGTAATAATAAACAGAAGAGAATGTAGCCTTGTCTTTATATCTGCTACAGAGGTCATTCTGACTTGACCATTCTGCTCCTCAACGTTTAGTACTTCTTGAATTTTGTTACTGCTTTTACAGTGTACATAATAAATAATAATATTACATAATAAATAATAATTTTTTTAAAGTTCTGTGCTTCTTTCAGCTGTGCTTAAACTTCTTGGTTTCATTATTGTTTGAAAGATTTTGCTGCTTGAAGTTCCCATTGAAGGCCAAAAGAAAAAAAGAAAGAAAGTTTTGCTAGAAACTAAACTTCAAGGAGGCACTGAGATAACCCAGAGCATCTTGGATTATGTATTAGAAGCCACCAAACCAATTTCACCAGCCAATCAGGGTATTAAAGGTAAAACCATTTTAACCTAATATACTGTTGATAGCATTAACAAAATTTTTCTTTAAATTGGCATGGCAAAGTTGTGCAAAAGCATGAAATTAGTATAAAGAAAGAAGATATATTTTGAGGTTAATCAAAAAAACCTAAGCCAACTATATAGCTAAAACCTTTCATGTACCTGTGTTTTTCTTTTCCTTCCAACTCTATAAAATGTTTACTAAGTGATTGTTAATAAATGAATCTTTGTGCTGCTTCTTCACCTCAAGTTTAGATTTATAGCTAAACTTCCAGTAAACCAGATCAAAATGGCTTTTGTATCCATAACTTCAGCTAAAACTTGACTTGGACTAGAGAATTGATAGATTATAAAGTCAGTTGTTCAGGGGACAGTATCTATATGAAAATATTTCCAGCAAAACTGTATCGCTAACAGATGGAATTTGATGAGTAAATTTTTTTCCCTTGTTACATAGCCGATCTAGCAAAGAACATCACACTTGTGCTGACAAATTTATTTTAGCCAGCCTATTATCCAGGTTGGTATAAAGTATAATGACTAAAGGACTTCTGGTCTTTGCTGTGGACTTCACTCTGTTGTTTACATGGTAAAATGTTGCAGGTGGCAATAACTGCAGCTGAGTGGATGTAACAGAGCTAATAATGCAGCAAACACAGAATAACAGAATTAATACACATAGAGGAATGCCTTCTAAAAGCAAATACTCTGTTCCTTACATAGTTTGGAGAGTTTTAATTTGACTCATTCAGATGGCCCAGGCATTAATTATTCCCAGCTTAGTTTGTACACTGCTAAAATATGCAGCTGAGGTTGGAAAAGTTAAAAAGGACTATAGTCATATAATTTTTTCATGTTAATAGGCATATACATGTTTATGTTCTTAATTTTTCATATGTATTTAAATTTTCTTCGCTTTCCTTAGATTATAGCTCATAGTCATATTTTTTTCTTCCTAGAAAGTAGGAAGATTGAGTCTGGTAAGCTTTCAGATAGCCAACTCTAGATTTTTTTCTTTGTTTTGATGATTAATTAATTGTTTTGTGGTTTGTCTATTTTTTGTTTTTAAATAATGTGCTAGGAAAGCGTGTGGTGTTAATGAAGAAGTTTCCTCTAGATGGAGAGAAAGCAGGCCAGGAGGCATCTCTTTACATTGTTCCAACTGTTGTGAAAGGTAATACTGGGCATGATTTGTGAAGCTGCACCCATTTTAGCAAAGTTCACTTGAGGGTTCATTTTTTTATATGACATATTTAAGTTGTATATATCTATCTCATGGATATATGATTAAATTTATAATTATATATATAATATATGAGATATTGATATATTTTAATAAGATATATGGCTTTTTCTATATTTAAACATTAAAAGTTGCAGGTGCAGGCAGGTGCAAAACTCTCTGAATATTTTAAACTTTGAAGAACTTACTTTAAATCAAGGAAGAAAACTTTGGTTTAATGTACTGCCTTTGTTTCTGTAACAATAGCACATTTCTGGTTCAAGCAGTATTTGTACATTTGGTTATATTTCAAAACACAGGCCTTGTGTAGAATTTGCTGAATGCAACTCTAAGACATCCTACTCAGTTCAGTGTTCTGTACTCTGAGAATAAATAAGTCTCTAAACAGTAAACAGATTCTTTAAAAAGCCAAGTAAATTACTTGTCAAGAAAGTATTTCTAAAAAATATTGAAGTAAAATGTGTCCTTTTGGGGAAACTTCTTCATTTTTGCCTTACTTATAAGACTTGATAAAATCTATCAACTAGATACCATTGTGTATTGCTATGTAAGGATTGTATGTAATTGCTATCAATTATTATTTGGAGAAAATTAGGTCACTCTAGTCTAAAGTTATAGTCTTAATTAAGGATTGTAACTACAAAAGGTGCAGAAGGGAAAATAAGATTCTTCTCATGGATGTGTCTTCAGAGAATGTTTCTTTTTTAGATAATACGAAATATACATACAGTCCTGGATGCCCTGTGTTCTACTGTTTACAAGACATCATGAGAGTCTGCAGTGAATCCAGCACACACTTTGCTACACTTACTGCAAAAATGTTAATTGCCTTGGATAAGTAAGAGACACCATCAGTAAAAATACATTAAAATGAAAACTTTGATATTTTATATCAAAATATAAATATATATTAAAAAGATAATTTGTCAATGTAACACATAGTTTTTATAGCATTCTTGTGGTTAAGAAGGAAATCATCATGGTATTTTCTTCATGTTTATCAGAAATTGAAACCTTGACAACATATTTCTAAAATTCTTTTTGCAAACTCAAGAATGGTGTGTTTATCTAAATCAAGTAGCTTTTTGGAAGTTCATGCTCACAGTGAATGTTTTGTAAAATCATAATGTTTAATCTTCTGTAAATGACATAATTGTCATTTGAGTAAGAACATTTGCCAGAGTGAAGTAAAAATATCCTGTAATTGTATACCATTAAGATTTGCATTTAAATTAAATCTCCCTGTAGAAAGGGAGTGCATCTTCCCCAGACACACAAATTTATTTGCAGTAGGGAATTAACTTTCAGATAGATGATTAGTTGTTTAGCCAGATTTATAGTAGTTTGAATACATGAACAGGTTTTTTTGTTGTTTTGGTAATTTGGTTTTTTTTGTTTGTTTGTTTGTTTTTGTTGTTGTTTTGGGGGGTTTTGTTGTTGTTGTTTTTTTTTAATGTACCCTTAACCAAGAAATACCAGACACACTTGTGTATGAACTTATTTGCAGTAATAAAGTTAGCTGAAACCTCTGGCTAATGTAAAAAATCATGCCACAGGCTATTACCTAAAAGGTTCTGTGTTTAGGCTTTTTACAGTTTATTAGTAGAGTTGTAGTATTTCCATATATACCATTGTATCAGTTAAATTTATTTGCTGCTTGCTGAATGCCTTCAGGCTCTAAGTTCTGCTTAAAAGTGTTTCAAGCTTCACAAGAAGCCTTGGAGGTATAATAGAAAATAGTTTATGTTTTTTTATTCTCTATGTACATAATCTGAAACAATCCTTCTCAAAGATTCAAACTGCCATAACTAATTTATCTACCAAATATTTAGAAAAAAATGCCTGAAAATACCTTAGAGGATGTTTATAGCACAATGATTACGATTTTACTGTTCTTTCTGCCAGGACCATAAGTAAGTGAAGAGAATGCTGCTTTTGCAGGACATTATAGCTTGGATTTAGGACTTAAAAGAGGCCTAAGCAAATGCACTGAACTGCAGATTATCTTCTGCCATCCTTATATATGCTTCTGGGACAGACAAAATCTAAGTAGTCTGTCAGTGGATGTCCAAAGCATGTACTTACTTCTCTTTCTTCTATTTCCAGGCTCAATCACTAAACAGAATTTATTGTATTCCAGCAAAGCACATTTTTACCTCAAGCTTGTGAGAAAGCGTGTGCAGAAACCAAAATACAAACCTGCCTTTAGACCTTTAATGCACCACTTAATATAACACTAAAACAATCTAAAAATTTGGTAAAAATATATTTATCCAAAACTTGAGATGAACAACTTGTCCTGAGCCCTGTGTTATATTGCATATGTGGTGGGAAAAATGCAGCAGGTGTACAGTACTGACTTCCCCTGGTAGTACTGAATAGGAGAGCTCTAAAGCTCTTCAGTACTGTCAGTAGGAGTGCACTGAGAAGAGAATAAACTTCAGCAGAGCTTTATAAAAAGGCAGGTGGTAGCCTATGTGAAAGAGACTTGGCAGTTTAAAAACTGGACCTTCTATTTGCTGCCTTTTCCTGTCTCTCCCTAATGAAACACATGAGTTGAAAAGCTTAAGTCAGTACAGATATTGAAACTCACCCTTAAAAAAACTGCTTTAAGTTTCAGAATTTGTTCAGAGTGGTACTGTTAATAAACTGAAAGTAAATGAAATGTTGGTGTGGTTTTGTGGTTATAACCCGTGTTACTGTTAGTGTATAATTTCCTTCTCTAAGGGTTTGCATCCACACAGAATTGAGCAAATACAACTGAAACTGAGTGTGGTTAACAAATTTCACATTCAGGGAGTAATTTAGTCTTATAAAATTTGCTGTGAAAATTATAATAATTTTTTTTAATTCAAATGTGTGATTATCATATATGCCATCCCTAATCAAAGAAAATAATGGACAGCATGACCAAAATGATCCTCTTCTACCTGAAAATTAATTACTTGCCCATTCTCTCCTGCAGGTGGTTGGATGAACGGCACACCCAGTCTCATTCCATCCCAGCTTTATTCAGACCATCTCCTCTTGAAAGAATTAAAACAAATGTAATAAACCCTGCGTATGCTATAGAACCTGGTCAAACAGAGAGCTCATTGCACATGGGTTATACTGCCCTGGAAATAAAGAGTAAAATGCTGGCATTGGAGAAAGCAGATATGTGTATCTATAATCCTTTGTTTGGATCTGACCTTCAGTATACCAATAGGGTAAGAACTATATTTTCATTTTGTATTTGTGAAACAGACATACATTTCCATTTTAGAGTTCATTCATTTTTTTGATATGAGTGTGTGCTCACATCAGAGTTGTTTATTTAGCCGTAAGTGTGCACTAGTTTTTCAAATCCTGATATTTGATCATAATTCTCTTCCATTATAAAACGTTACTATCATAACTTTGGTTTTAAGAGAACACCTGACTGGAATGGGGGATTGTGTAGCCAAATCTCAGTAAGATATTTTTTCAGTTGTGTTTAAATTATGTCTCCACAGGTTGACAAGGTGGTAATAAATCCATACTTTGGCCTTGGAGCCCCAGACTATTCAAAGATTCAGATTCCTAAAAGAGAAAAGTGGCAACGTAGCATGAGCAGTGTCACAGAGGACAAGTATTATGTTACATTCTTTTTTCATTAATGGATAATTTTGTTTTGTTTTATTACAGTAGCACTTGGTAGACTTAAAAGGAGATTCCTATTACTTTATGCTTCACTGTAGAAGTACATATTTTAAATGAAATTCTATTTGAAATCTTAAAGTATTGAAACACAACAGTTAAAGGATGAATCAAGAAAGGAGTAAATTATAAACATTAGAGAAACATTTCTTACTCTGATAAATACAGCTGTGGCTTGATTTCTGCATGACAAAAAACCTATTTGTATGAATACTGGCACATTTTAGCTGCATGAACTTCTCTTTTATTCTTCATGTAGATCTATGGTTAGTGCTATGTTAGTGACTTTTAAACAGTTGATGTTCTCAACAATTGTAATATATCTGAAAGGTGTTTTTCCTGCTTCCCCTTTTAATTCCTAGGGAACACCAGTGGGTAGATGATTTCCCTCTTCACCGCAGTGCTTGTGAAGGAGACTCTGATTTACTAAGCCACCTTCTGGATAAAAAGTTTTCTGTTAATCAGTTGGATAGTGACCACTGGGCACCAATCCATTACGCATGCTGGTGAGTCAAGCATAGTTTTGCCAGTCAAGTGCATTCTAGCTGTTGTGATTCTTTAGCACAATCATTTATGTAATTTATCAGCCTCCAAAAGAAAAAAAAACAACAAAAACCTCTAGACCTTTTATGCTTTCATTTTAATATATGCTAATGTTAACCTTCTGAAGAGAAACATTGCTTCAGGTTTTGATATTATTTTAATTTGAATGGTTTTTGGGGAGACCAGTTGTGGAGATCATGTCATCACTTACTTATTGCCCCTTGTATCTCTCCTGACTATTCTAATTCCTGCTGGAGGCACTGGGTCTACTTTAGTATGGTAACTCTCACAGTCTGTGTTGGTTTAAGCCTCTGAGCGGTAGCTGAGCTGAGCATGTTTTGGTGCTGGACACACTTAAAGTGGGAAGCTGGATTAGGTGATTTACAGAGGTCAGCATGTCTGACTATAACTCTGTGATTTAATCGGTAAGTCCTTGAAAGCTTTTCTCAGTCATAAAAATGTTTTTGTTTTATCTTTATGAAAGTTAGTCTTTTGTATATATAGTGGTCAGTACGTCTGATGATAGGAATAACATGAAAATCAAACTTGATTATAAAAAGCCCACATTCTTACTTGCTTTTTAGTGTTTGTCAGAAAGTTTATAAATACTTTATACATTAAATATACACAAGAGTTACCAGTTATAAGCATGGGAGTTAAGAATCCTCAGGATCCATCTGTGTGACAAGCGGAAGCTGAACTCTGATTCTCAACTGATTATTTTTTTTCCAGACAAAGCTGGACTCTGTTCTGCCATGACTGAATTGCTGCAACTACCCAAACTTAGCTAGCTTAAAGCAAGGTTCTGTTTGTCTATCATGAATCCAATAAATGGTTACTAGACCAGTAATTACCAAAGAAGTGTAGAACTGATATTAATTTCTACAAACTTAATTATGTTCCATTGTATCTGGTGTAATTTGAAAGCTAAAAAGCTTTTCAGTGTGGAAAAAACCCACACTTTTGTATCTGGTGTAATTTGAAAGCTAAAAAACTTTTCAGTGTGGAAAAAAACCCACACTTTTTCATAAATAGGTCCATCTGAAAAAACTCTTTTTCATAATTAGGACCATCTGAAAAAAAATTATTATGTATTCGCTGTGTCTGTTCTGATTTACATATGTCTGTAGGTATGGAAAAGTTGAAGCCACTCGAATGCTGTTGGAGAAAGGGAAATGCAATCCAAATCTTTTGAATGGTCAACTGAGCTCTCCTCTTCATTTTGCTGCTGGAGGTGGGCATGCTGAAATAGTACAAATTCTACTCAATCATCCCGAAATTGACAGAGTAAGTCCTGTTTGTGTATAGAAATAGCAGATCTAGCAATGTAGTAAACCCCATAGATTTAGGAAAAGCACCATGGAGGATATGAACAATAGGAATGCTGAAACAGCAAAAGAAAATTCCTGTTTTTCTGTCCTCCACCCCTTAACCTACCTCTGTAACCCTATAAGGCAATGTCATGTTAACCCCTTACCCATTGGTCAAGCTTAGATCCTTTCCAACCCTATAAAAGAAGCATACTGTACCCCATTAGGGGAGAAAAAAGAAGAGCAGAGACCCTTCACGGACCTCCCCAAATAAAGCCATCTCTGTGGAACAGCCTGCGCCTTCTCCTTCTCCTCTCTCTCCGTCTGCTGCAGCCTCCAGCCCAGGGCACCACTACCTAGCAAGCAGAGCTGAAATCCTGAGAGCTTGCAATCACTATAGAGCTGATAATCACCATGCTTGCTAGATGGTAGCCCTGAAGCCTTGGCATGAGTGAGCTAGCTTCGGGCACCCAGTCCTTACCCAGGGACTGAGCTCCTGAGCCCTAGTGCTCTGCATTATGATAAGGCCAAATCAGAGGCTTTATTATAGCAACAGTTTCTAGCTTGTGTATGAGAAATATTTTGGTGTCAGATCAATGATCCTGTTTAGCAATTACTGAAAAATGGTTAAATGTTTTTGATTACCTCTGCTTTTCCCATTGTGTATCAATTTAATGTTTGAACTCTGGTGTCAAGGATTTTAATTATCTCAAAAATGTGTAAATATTTACCTGTCTCCAGTGAAATCAATGTAGAATTGGTGTTTCTGTTTGTTTGTAGCACATCACTGATCAACAAGGAAGATCTCCACTGAAAGTCTGTGAAGAGAACAAACAAAATGAATGGGAAGAAGCTGCAAAACTACTGAAGGAAGCCATAAATAAACCTGTATGAGTTAATTTTCTAAATATTTTAAAGTTTGTAGTTAATTTACTCTTAATCTTTTAGAAGAGCTAGAGTCACTTCTGGCTGTTACTGGAAATGTGCAGAACATTGAAATTGTTAGTGTAAATATTGGCAAACTGGCATTTTGTCTCTTTGAATATTTCTGCTCTGTTTCATGGCTCAAGAAATACATGAAAGACATGTAAACATGATGCTACAATTTATTTGTAGGAGCATCACATCAGGTACTGATTTTATGTCCTTTTTTTGATCATGCAACCATCAGCTTTCTTTATGCATTCTTACCTTATATGTTGATAAGCAGGAGCATTCACCTGGCTAAATGTAGGCTTCTATGAAATAGGCTTTTCATCACTTAAAGCCTCAGTGCAGGCTTCCTTGGCAGCCAGTGGGGATTTAGCCAGGATAGGGAACAAAATTTACAATGCAATTCCTGTTATCCTGAACTAGATTTAAAATTAGTCAAATGATATAAACCTACTTGTTTCTTTTCTTTGACTTCAGATGCAACCTATATCCCTGTAAGTAGGTGGTACTAAACCTGTCAGTTTTTCAAGATGTTTTAAATTATCTTCATTTCACTCTGCATGAATGATTTCCAAAATAATTAAGGAAGGAACTGACCTTCATTTTAAGGATCTTACTGTGCAGTAGATCATGTGATGGTGTGTCTAATGACTCTAAAGAATAATGGACATGTTTTAAGTAGATTTCAGAGTGTAATGTGTGATGTTATGTTGTCACTTATTACTATTTAATTAATCCAATATATAAACTCCCCCTATAAACTACTGCAATAGGAATGACAGTGACTACTGCAGCAAAAATAGATTGATGTTTTCCATTCCAACCTCATTTTCAATCAGTTGTCATTTTCCAAGCCATCCATCTTTTTTTTCCAGAAGTTTTTAGGAACTCAGTTCTTGATGACTTAGTAGATTTGAGGAAGAGAAATAACAAATTCCTGAAATATTTTTATTCAAGCAGCTGAAACATCTAATCTGTTACAGAAGTGAAAACAAGACACTTCATTGATTTATGACTTGTGCATGTATGCTTTAAGCACCTGATTTATGTATGTCTTTCAGGAGGCATGCTGTGGGCTCACACGCAATTCAGTGAAAGCTATGAGAGTTCTGAAGGGGAAAATGATTTATTATTTATAAGATTTATTTAGATTCTATTACAGGAGCACTATAAGATTTAGTGAGATTGTATTTTTGTAGTGGGTTCTGAGTAAAGGGTGGTGCTTCCCTCTAAAAATAAGTCTTTTTAGTATAGGGTGGAAAAATTCATAACCTACCAGTAATAGCAAAGCAAACATTTTGGGATATGCATAGGCAGCTGAGCCCAGATCCCTCAGGAACTTTTAAATACCTACTTTCCTTTGAGTTCAACAGAAGTCCTCAGAATACCATCAAGATCTTTTTTGGAGTTACTGTTGTAAGAAACACAGTATAAGAACTTACACAGAACATGAAGCAAGCAATTTGGGTAAATAATAAATACATAGGAATTGTGCAATATTCTTTTTCCCAACATTGTAGATGTTGCTGATAAACACACAAACAGAAAGGATTTTAACAAATTGTTTGTGTAATATATTGCTGTTTTTATGTAGTATGAGAAGGCACGGATTTATCGTATGGATGGCTCCTATCGCTCTGTGGAGCTGAAGCACGGAAACAACACAACTGTCCAGCAGATAATGGAGGGCATGCGCCTGTCTCAAGAAACTCAGCAGTATTTCACTATCTGGATCTGTTCTGAGAACCTCAGTAAGTAAAAGGGACAATGGTTATACTTGAGGGTTTATCATAGTTTATTTCTGTTTGCCTTTAGGAAAAAGTAATGCTGTCTTAGGAGGGTAGGGGACATGCTCTCTGACAGGATTCACAGCCTGATGTCTCCAAACTGCTTTCAGGGCTGTGGAGAAATTCTCTGTTTTAGTTTTTACTTTGGGTACCCTCAGTAGGTCTGACTCTGTCACCTATCATTTATTTCATCCAGGAAGATGAGGCTGTTCCAGGTTGCCTTTCTGTTACAGGGCACCTTGTATGTCATAGGCCTTACTAGTAGCTTATCCTGGATTTATCCATATTTTTCTTCCCAGACTATCTGAATTTGGATGCATGTAGTTGTTTTTACCAATGTCTAGTCTTTTTAAAACTACTAATTAAAGTAAGATGATTAATGGTTTTTTTCATTAGGTCCTTTAATCATGAATTTTCCTGTGTTTTGCGCACCAAAATAATTTTGATAAACAAGTTTTCAAATATATTTGATGGGAGAGAATTCTGATGTAAAATGTCATGTTTATATTTATGGTATTTTTTGGTATTTTTGATCTAAATAGAAAAGATATTATAGTTTTAATTTGAGATACATACTAGAAGATAAGTAGAAGTCCAAGAGTCAACAAGTGTGGTTGGGTATTTTCAGCTAATGTGGTCAACAGTACTGCTGCAACAGGATAGCTATGGGACACCTTGTGGATTACAAAGCTCAGGTGTGGTCTGGTAGAATACTGTGTTGAGAGTGTCATTAACACAGAAGCCTTGCATTTAAAATTTTATTTACCCTTGCCAATGCTCCACTACAGTGGTATTGTTACTTTTTTTAAAGTAGCTGTAGTTATTGCAGGAAATCTTTTCTTTATTTTTCTTTACTCTTTTTCTTCCAGTGTCATACCAAGGCCTTTTTACTTTGCTGTATTGCCACATGACTACTGTAACCCCCAGCTAAGCATAGATGATAATGTGAAGAAAAGGAAGTGTTTGAGGGTTAAAGTCTTGCTGCTTTTGCCTTTTCTAAATATGTATGTCATGTTTTCCTAGAATCATTGAGGTATTACCCTTGCATTTGAGGGGAAGAGCTCACTGATAAATTGTTTGTGTAACAGCAAGTAATTCTCTAGATATTTAGTCTAGATTTGAAAATGAGCTCAAACTACTTTATGGCTTCAAACTACTAATGGACAAGTTTCATTTTAAAGTATGTTGCAGTTTGTGTACAACTGTAAGGACAGTAGGTTTCTTGCTTGTGGAACAGATGATGCTTTTCTGTGTTTGAATGTAAGATGGATAAGTTAAATGAACAGATTGTTCCCAGTGAAAGATACTGTGCTATAATGTACCCATTTACACTTTTCCTATGGTGGGAAATGCCACAGTGTGAAAGGCAGAGCAGTGAGGGTGAGGCAGATAGAGCCTCCTAGAGCCTCACTCCTAGGAAAAGGCAAGTGATAACCCAAGGACAGGCAGGGTGAGTGAGTAAGCCAAAGATACAGATTCTAGTACATAATAGGACTGCAGCTGAAAGCTCTGTATCAATTTCTCAGCTCTCATATACACAAGAGAACATGAAACATTGATTGACTTTAGCCTGTTAAGAATCAAGACATTTTACAGATTAAAAAGAAGAATGTCTTCTGAAAAGAAGAATGTCTGTTCTAGAAAGTTTATGGTTTTTATATATATACAAAAAGGGCAAATACATTTATAAGATGAATTATATCTGTATTTTCCTGTCAGAAATAAGATTATTGGATTTTATATTTTTCTGTATTTCTCTACAATAATAGAGACAAGAGTCTCTCATGTTTTATTATTGTGCTTTTAAGGCCAGTCTTGGTACTCCATTAAATTTTTAAATAGCACTTCACTCCTGAGAAACTGAAAATAACAAAGTTTCAACACTATTGCATTTAGTGAATTGATGCTAAAAGAGTTTTGTCAATAAATCTGTATTTTCAAAACATTTTCTATATAGCAGTTTAGAAAACATAGGAAAATGCTTGTTAATGAGTCCTCAATTTCAGGTACTCTGAGTTTGGTGCAGCATTTAATTATTTATATGTGTGTGTATGTGCTGGGTTATTCTGTTTGTTTATTTGGAAACAAACCTGTTCTTTTTCAGGTCTCCAGCTGAAGCCATATCACAAGCCTTTACAGCATATTCGAGACTGGCCTGAAATATTCACTGAACTGACAAACTTGGATCCTCAAAGGGAAACTTCACAGCTTTTCCTGAGAAGGGATGTGAGACTTCCACTGGAAATAGAAAAAAAGGTCAGGACTTGGAAGTGAATGAAATTATGGTCAGACTCAGAACACTTGAACCATCAACACTCAGTGTGTATAGTGACTGTAGTAATTTCCAAACTTATTTAAACCTGGCATCTCCTTTTCTGTAATGGTTTGAGTCTTCACATTCTTCCCTTCCTCTCTCTTGCCTTCCTGCCATCTCTTTGTTCTCTCTCTCACCCTCTCAGTTGGGTTTATCCAATGTCTCCATGTGTCAGTCTCTGTCTGTCATACAGCTAAAAACAACCTGCCTGATTTTATTCCTTCTGCTGTTGTTTTTCAGTTATTTAATTGGTTGATTTCAATGGGATTATTCAAACATATTACCAAAAATGAATTTATGGCAGAAGAAATCCGCAGATACCAATATTTCTGTATTGAATTTTTGATTTGGCGTGGTATACTAGTTGGCTTTCATTTGTGTGTTAGATTAGTGAAGTGTTGAAGTAAGTCAATGAAAAACAATGCTTCTATTACAAAGCACCACTAAAATGTACACTTCAGTCAGGATCACACCTTTGTCTTCTGTCTCTGAATCAGTGAGAAACGCTATTTGTAGTTTCTAAGCTTACTTTCCTTTTTACAAAGAAATAATATTATTTAAATCTTTTTAACAGATTGAGGACCCCTTGGCAATTCTTATACTTTTTGATGAGGCCAGATATAATTTACTGAAAGGTTTTTATACATCACCTGATGCAAAGCTGATTACACTGGCAAGTCTGCTTCTCCAAATAGTCTATGGAAATTATGAGAGCAAGAAACATAAACAGGGCTTTCTAAAGTAAGTATGTGTTTAAAATTTAAAATTATGGGTTAGATTAAGTATTTTTAGATAGCACTTCCTATGGAACCCTCAAACTTGAGGTCTGATATATTTGTCAGCTTTCTTCATCACTGAGCTATGGTGCAGAGTAATCATGTAATAACCCTTGTAACATTAATAGAAGTTGGGCACTGTGTGTGTGTGGAAATGTATTAATCTTAATTATTGCAGTCCTAGACAGAGGGGGGATGTTCTGTAGTGTGTGAAATCTGTCCTGAGATACAGTAATACCAAATAAGCAACAGTATTTATTGAAGGATTCTGACAGGACTGAGGCCTTGAGCAATGTTGAAGAAACATCTTACCCTGGCATTTGACCAATGTCTGGGATTGATTTTCTCTCTGTGGACAGACCATGTAGCGATATTGTGTCTCTTCTGTCATCTGTAGGAGAAATGCTGGACTAAATTAGTCAAAGCCATAGCACCAGTAGGGCTCAGCCAGATGGTATTTTTCTCTCCCCTTCTCCCTGCATGCCAGCAGAACAGTAGCTGAGCTATTTTGGGATGGCTTGTTCTTCCCACATACATTTCTGCAGCAGTATCTGAGCCATGAGGATCCCAGTTCTCTGCTGTGTGCACCTTCACCCCCTGCTGTTTCCACCTCACTTCATTCATGGAACAGCAGCTGTGCTGTTCTGGGGTGCTGCTGTGCTTCTCATCTTCTCTTTTTCACAGCATCAGCTGAGCTGCCTTGGCCTGATGGGTTTTTGCATGTATTTTCCTGCAGTTGCACAGCCAGTCAAGGGAGCATGAGGGGAACAGGATTTAAGTGGGACTGCCCTCCTATATGCCTATAGTATGGCTGAATTTTGTATACATTACTCCCTGCTGGCTCCCAGCAGCTGCAGGGTGGTGTTCTTCTCCACACTGAGGCCTATCAGTCCTGTGGTTCCAAGTTAATTCTGCTCAGTGCAAGTGTTTGGCTCTACAGACAGGACTACCTGCAAAGATAGGTTGGGCTAGATAAAAAGCCATTTGGACATGCTTTCCATTCACATTTACATAGTTCTTCTTCATATAGAGGAGGAGTTTCATAATCTGTTTTTCTTTTTGTAGTTGACATAAATGTTCATTAAAAGACTGGTAATTCCAGAAATACATCCCTATTTGTTTTTTGTATGAGAGTATCCTTGACTTAAAGATCTGATGCACTGTCCTGTGCAGGGTTTTTGCTTGGCAGAGCATATATACTGCCAAATACAGTTTAAATAGGTTACATCACTAGGCCTTGAGACTGTCTTAATTGTACATAAAAGCAAACTAGTAAAGGCTTGCATTCTTCCTTTTAGTTTTTCTTTTGTTTCCTGCATTTTGGGTTTTTTAAAAAAGGCAGTTGATGTAAGTAGCTTCTCTTTCATGCCATATAGCTTCAACGTGGAAATTAATTGGACTGAGTCCTCGGTAGTGCTGACTGCAGGAGTGGAAGGAAGAGTATCTATAGTCTGTCATATTTTCTGAGTATGTGATATGCTGATGTAAATGGCATTCTGTATATAATTTTGGCTTCCAACCTGGAATTCACCAACTGCTCTTTAGCCAAGTGTGCGTTGTGTGTTCTGCTGGCATTTCCTCTCCATGCCATGTCCATGATGTTTGACACAGAGTATATAATGTAAAACTGGATTTTCATTAACTGAGAGTTGCAGTGTATCTTAGGAAACCATCTCATCTGAGAGGCGAGATGGAGTAGGGGCTGACTGTCTAGCTCAGTATGTGACTTGAAGGTACACTGTGGCAGACATTGTTCTTTTTTCTTACTTTGTTTAGTGAAGAAAAACTTTGTTCCCCTTTGTTTTTCTCTTAGTGAAGAAAATCTTAAATCTATTGTACCAATAACTAAACTAAAAAGCAAAGCTCCTCATTGGACAAACAGGATACTTCATGAATACAAGGTAAGATAAATAAGCAGGTAGTAGAAAATCCTGTTCTTTACTATTTTTGACTGTTTGGTTGTCAATTAATGAACAGAAATACTGGTAAAAAAAGCTAAAAATGTGTATGTTCTGAATTTTTGGGATGGGTTGTCGGAATATATTTCCTGTACAGATACAGATCTCTTTGTTAGAAGTAAATGTGTTTGTTATCTGTTCACTTACCTTCAATGTTAGCCCTGTATTGGGCACAATTACAATTTGGGCATAGGTGTGAAAAAATCTACTCTGATTTAAATTTCCATGTCTGCTCGTAGCAATAGATCCCCAAAGTTCTTTTTGTCAGCGTAACTTGTATCTTAGGGACCTGGTAGTGCTGCTGATGTGCATGTGTGCGCACACACACGCGCGCAAGCTCCTTTGTTTAGAGCAGTTAATTGAGCAAAAATTTAATTTTTTTTTACTTGGGCTGCTTGTGTAAAAATGCATCTTAACCGAGGGCTGTGGGTTCCAAATGAGGTCAGATTAAATTTGTGGTCTTCACAAGTAATTGTGGAAAAAGTGAGGTGTGTCAGAAGGAGAACTGTGTCAGCTGATGTGCATCACTAAAGGTAGCTGCCAGGAAACATTGCAGAGGCACCTAGTGAATGTTTTCAAACCTTGCTCCTCTTTTTGAGATGAGATTACTCAGTCATAAATCTTCTTTTGGTGCTCACACCTTTTTTGTCACAAATTAGCAGATCATTCCTATTCTTTCTAATAGAGATGAAGGAGGGGGTGATGGTGCTCTAAGACTATGCTGTAGCAAAGTCATCTACTCTGTCATCAAATCATATGTAAGGATGAGCATAGCTTTCTTGCCTTCTGCTTTTAAGATATTTTGGGGTGTGGGGCATGGGGGGAAGGGGAAAGAAGTTGCAGTCTTCTGTTCTGAAGATTTTACATGTTAGAAATGGCTGTGTAGAATTCAAACAAGCTGTAAGGCAGGGTATGGATCCAGAGAGGCTGATCCTGTCTACCACACCCCCAGTCATGGCCCCCTAACTGTTGAAGATTTGTGTTCTCCCTCGTGTCCGTGCCTTCTGATCTTGTCCATGGCCCAACCAATTTTTTATTTGTTAGAGTGGTTGTTATCATTCTGGTTTGAGGAGCACTCCAGCAATAGTTTGTTCTGACTGCTGCACTCTACTGAAGAGGAAGGAACAGAAGCCTGTCTCATTCTGGATGAAGGCTCCACTAATGAAAAGAGATCTGCACCTCTCTTTTGCTTAGAAAAGAAAAAACAATCCATGTTTTTGGAAAGACGTATTTACTCATCTTACCATGTCTCACTGGACTGGACTCCTTAAAAGAAGGAAGAATACTTAATTTTAAGGATTGTGATGCATTTGGTGTCAGATGGGTGCATAGCTGCTGATCCCAAGTCCCAGTTGCTTCTGGGAGAGGCAAAGCTGTGGGGCCCTTCAGAGGTTGTGTGTCTGTGCTCAGATTTCCAAGGCTCTTATAGGTATCTGGGTTTTGCCTCAGTCTTTTCTAGCACTTGAGCCTTTCCATGGCTCTAAGATTTAATTTAGCTGTAGGAAGATAGTTGATGGGAAGGCACTTTGGAAATAAGCCTTTAGTAAGGATTGCACTGAACAGTGGGTTTTCTTCAATCAATCACAACTGTGTGGAAGGACTTGTTGATTGCCATTGTTTCTTTATTTTTAGAATCTCAGCACCAGTGAAGGTGTCAGTAAGGAGATGCATCACCTTCAGCGCATGTTCTTGCAGAATTGCTGGGAAATTCCTACTTACGGAGCAGCTTTTTTCACAGGACAGATATTCACCAAAGCAAGTTCAAGTAGCCATAAAGTCATCAAAGTGTACGTAGGAGTAAACGTAAAAGGGCTGCACCTCCTCAACATGGAAACAAAGGTTAGCTTAAGTGAACTGCCAGTGATAACTATAAAACTTCACTCTCTTCTCTTAAATCTTTGTACTAGAAGTGATTTCCCATCCAACTGTTTAATTAAACTTGACTGAAAATTTCCAAGATTTTAAGGTCTTTATAAGTCACCAACAAAGTCTTGTATTTTTTCATTTTACTACTTTATGAGCTACAACTGTGTTTTGGAACATAGTGGTTTAAGTCTGAATTCTGTCTTTGTGAATGAAGGGAAGTTCAGTGTGCAAGTATGGAGGATATTTTCTGAGTGACAGTTTCCTACATTTGGTCATAGGCTTTACTCCTCAGCCTAAAGTACGGTTGCTTTATGTGGCAGTTGGGAGATGGAGATACGTGTTTTCAAATCCACAGTCTGGAAAACAAAATGAGCTTTATTGTACATACCAAACAGGTAAGCACTATCATTTTACATCCTTTATGTTCAATTCTTTTTTTCCTAAATTAGATACACAAGCCTCTTTTCTCTTGAGATTAACCACCCTTGCACACTATAAAAGAACTCTAAGCCCAGCCCCCACAAAAATTATTTTAAGAAATGTTTGCTTGTTTTCTTAGCATGTGACACCTTCAGAATTCAAAATACATAAAATGCATCTATAATCATTAGGGTAAACCTTTTGTTTAATTGAAACTGTTTCTTGCATATGCCCAATCCCTCATTGTCTTAGATTGATTCCAAATATAATGAGATTCAGAGAGCTGGAGCCACTAACTTTGTGATCAGAAGTAATGGAGTTTGAGATGGGACAAAGCTGAGAATTGCTTTTGTCATGTGCTTGATTGTCATAGTTCTGAAATATTGATAGAATTGAATTGCATCCCTTTCCATAGGCAGGACTCGTTGTAAAACTCCTGATGAAATTAAATGGCCAGCTAATGCCAACTGAAAGAAATGAGTGATGGAAATGAACAAGAGTTACGAGATGGCATCCAATGGCTGAGCAAAAAACAACTTGTTCCTCCTCGTAACAGGACTTCCATGTATATGAATTTTACACAATAGAAAAGTCAATTTGTACAGTTTTTTAACTTTGTACAGAAGCTGCATGGTTTATTTTTTTAAAAAAACTATACAACATATCTATTATTTTTATAAGTATTTTTGTGTTTCATATATTAACTATTGTAGGGCTTGAGCTTAACCAATAAAGCTGATGAAATCTAAATGGTTTACCAAGTTTGACGAGCATGAATCCAGTAAAGCTGTTGTTCCCAGAGAAATATGGGACTACCAGTGCCATTAAGCAAGTCTCAGTTAACCTATTTACCTTTCGTGTCATTGCGTGGAATGTCAAGGAGGTGGTATATGTTGCAGTATTTTGTAGACACCCTCTATTTTTAAGATACTATTGATAAATATGCTTAAAAGACCAGTTAGACCTTTGAGCAACTACTTTTGATAAACTCTTGTTTTTTATTTGGTTTCTGACAAACATTTTAGCTCACGTTATTTTTACTCTTAACTTTCTCATACTTTGTATTCATATTTATTCTAAAATACTGCATGAGGATGCCAAAAGGGAAATACTTTAAATCATTCAGAAGCCATATTGAATGTTTAGCATGCATGTTTTGTAAAATGGATTTTTACTTTTGCTGTGCAATATAAAATGTATGTATGGAGGAGAGGGAGACAGGGATTTACAGATGAACCTTACTCAGAGGACTTCAGAAAGTTTTATAAATCGTACCCTGGATTGCAACACATATGCAGTAACAAAAGCTCATACAGGAGGTACTAAGTTATTTCTCTTAAATTAATTTTCTCACTAATTAATTCAGTTTCTTCAGGCTAAAAGCAGTGCAGGATGCAGGAATGAAGATGACAAGGAAGAAACTGTTTGTAAGCATTCTGCCTGCTCTTTGTAGAGTCAGGGTTGGGCCCCCACAAGTTGGGTCCCAAGTGTAAGGTGGGATTCTATGCAGTCTCAAACATATCCTTGTACATTAAAATAGAATCTGTAACACAAATCTTTGAAGTTTCTGGTTGTATTTCAGGGTTATAAGTGCACTTGACTATTTCTTCCGTGTAAACTGCATGCTAAAAACAGTGTGCAATATTTTGTAAAGAAAAGCTTTTATAAAAAATAAAAATTAGCACTTGCCTCTAAGTTTTCAAATAAAAGCTAAAATGAATGTGAAGAACTGTGCTGTTGTATAGAAACTTTACTCATACCTTACTAGTAACTGCAGTTTAAGAAATTAAAGTAGTAAGCTGTTAAAAACATGAACAGGAGACTTGTATTTTGTATTCTTCTTAGCAAGCTGTACTTTTCTACTTAAACTCCACAGACCTAAATTTTCATGGATTGTTATGCTGTATTTAAGGTAAATAATGCAACAGTCAGGTCCTTCATCGTGCATCCCTGCTATCACTTGGCACTGGTATCAGAAATACATTTCTCTACATAGCACTTTTCTAAGAAAACTAGAGGAAGATGTTAGGAAGGTGTGTCAGTTGCCTATATAACTATATTATCAATATGCCTTACTGCTGTATAGTCCTTTCTGCTAAATTCTTATTTATTACTACCTAATAAATTGTTTGCAACAAGTCATACTTGGTGTTTCTATTTTTATAGCCAGCATGAAGGTGCCATCAAATGTTACACCAAGCAGGTGTTATTACCAAAGGGCAGTAGTTTGTAACAGGCTCATCTTTGTAAGGTATGTAAGAAGAGCATCAGGGAGGACCAGAGAAGAGTCCCATGACTCTAAATTAAGGTAGTGCACTTTGGAAACTGCTCAGGAATTTACCAGGTAAACTGGAAACTCTTCCTTTTGGCAGGACAGAGGTTTGCAGATGTTGCACATCAGTGGAGCCACTGAGCAGCAAGAGCCCAACTCTGCAGTCCAGAGGCTTCTGGCACCTGGTTACACAGGAGCGTGCACTGCCCTGCTGGGGCAAGGCAGGTGTGTGCTCTCCTTTCATCTGGAAGCAGGGAAACAAAAAATGGGAAGAGAGAAATTCAACACCACTGAGACAGACCATTAGTAAGAGCCCTCATATCACTACCAAAAAAACCCAATGAAAATGAGCTGCAAGATGGGCAAAGCTGACACTTGTGCCTTTGTAAACATGAGATGCCCAGCTCACCACCTATAGTCCATCTAATAAGCACATTCTTAAAAAGCAAGAACCTGTATAGCTTTGCCAAAAGCAAAGATTTGAGTAGAACACTCAGCCAGGCCCTGTAAGGCAAGAGAGTAACTGAGAAAACTATGAAAAATAGGCAGGATTTTACCAAGTGGAATAACTGACCGCAGTGAGCAGCTTGTTCAAGAGGGAAGCCTTTGGTCCTGGGGTGATGTCCTGCTGCTGCTTGGGGCAGGGAACAATTGCTCCAGGGAGGTGGGAGTTTCCCAACCATTGTCAGCTTACAGCTGGATGCAGTTTGAAGCTGGGCTGTTGACTGAAAAAAGAAATACAGGTTCAACAGCAACAACGTACATTTTTGTTTGCAAAAATGTTTGCAAAAGCTCTGCTTTACCTTGTTACTACTATAGGGTAAAGATATAAAAATAATATACAAAATTACTATTCTATATAAATTTAAATATAATTAGTAATTACATAAAAATTAAGCAAAACCTATATTCATATATAGGTAATTAATCTGGAAATCCTCTCCCTTGGAAGAAATAGACTGACACTATTCCACCAAAAATGTCCTTCATAAATTGACAGAGCAGAATGTCAGTAACAACCAGTGATAGCTCTTATGTTCCCTGGAAGAATTGTCAAGGCTTGTAAATATGAAGGAACTCTCTCTCAATCACTACAGCACTGAAGAATTTCCTTTGGCCCTGAAAAGTGTTGAAACTTCAGAGACTGCAGGCAACAAACTGAAAACTTTACTAGATCCCATAGGTGACATGAAGAGTTTGAAGATACTCAACATTGATTCCATGCACTTCTCAGCATTCACAAACATTCACTGCTACCTCCACTCATCTAGTAATACTCAGCACATGTGAGACGTTGATACAGGGTTTGCCACAGGATATTACATGTTTTAAAAACCTACAAGAATATTCATTCAGTAACAAGCTTATGCTTCTGCCTGTGCACCTTTTCCAGTTGATAAAAGTACTCAGAACTGATGACAACAAATAGTTTCTTTCAGATTTAGTAGGGAATTTATGTTTCTGAACTTTGCAAAAATTTATTTAAAAGCAAAGATAATCTTTGCAACTGTACCCTGTTGAAATGTCTCATTGTATGTAATTCCTGCTAGATTTCCCAGATGTACACATTTAAACTTTAGAAACTGACTGGACTCAGTGGATGAAAAAATACCGCCTCGAAAAGACCTACCCAAACCAGAATTTTCCGTAAATGCATTAAGATACATTCCCGTTTAATACAAAAACTGTACGTGGACAACAAGCTGACCTCAGCTGTGATGAGGTCTCTGTTTCCAAACGCAGCTTTGTGCACTTTTTGATCTTAATCCCTCACATCTCAGTGGAAACTCATTTCAAAAACAACACGCGGGTTTTCTGACATCAAACATTTGGCGCATCCGGAATTAAACACAAATAAGCGGTCCTCGTTCTCCGGGCGCTGTGCAGTCTTACAAACCAGCGTCCTGGGCTGTCAGCGGGGGCGCCGGCAGTGATGCCCGAGGCACGGCTCACCGTCATAGGCATAATTTCCCGCAGGAGAACCGCGTTGTCCGGGTGTTCGAAGACACCCAGCGTTTCAAACACCCAGACGCCAAGCGCCGCGGGGCCGAAGCCCTGAGGGGGCCGGGCCCTGAGGCGCCCGGCCCGGTCCGGTGCGGTCCCCGCCCGCCGCCCGCCGCCCGCCAATGGCGCGCGCCGCAGCCCGGGCGATGCCGTCACGCCGCGCGGCGCGGCCGCGGATTGGCTGCGGCGCCGGCAATCGTCACATGGGCAGAGATCAGCCCAGCGCCGGGAGCCGCCGCACGGGCTCGCACCAGCCCGGCCCACCGCGCCGCCCTGCCCTGCCCCGCGGAGCCACGGCCGATGGCGGCGGGCGCCGAGAAGATGCTGAACCTCATGGAGGTCGGCGGGTCCCTGCTGGAGCGGGTGGCCGTCGGTAACCCCCTCTCCCTGGTGCTGGCCGCCTCCGCCTTCGCGCTCAGCCTCGGCTACCTGTTCCAGCTCGGCTACCGGCGACACCTCAGCTCCGACCAGAAGGTGAGCGCGGCGAGCGGCGGCGCAGCAGGGACGGTGCCCGCGGGCTGGGGGAGCCGGGCGGCCGCTGCAGCCCCGGGACAGCCGTCGGGAGCAGCCCCGGGACAGCCCTCGGGAGCGCGGGACAAGCAGCGCTGAAAGCCCGGCCTGAGGGAGTGGGTCCGGCGGGCGGGCGGCGTTCCCAGCAGCCGCGCCGTGGGGCAGCCGGCCCGCTTCGCCCTCACCGGGCTGCTCTGTACCGCGGGGGGCAGAGGCACTCGCGGCTGGCGGAACCCTGGGGCGTTCCCGGCGCTGTTTCATCGATGGAGCTTAAGAGAAAGTGCCCGCTGAAGCATGAAACACAGCGCTAATGTATGAAGGTGCTTTTGAGGGGCTGTTTAGCAAATCCTCCAGCACTGTTTCGTTTCTGGTTGCTGCCTTTTTTGTTGCAGTATCTTTGTGCTTCACATTCAGAGGCAGTGTAGGAAGAATCGTAATCATATTAACATTATTTTAACCTTTGCTGCTTTAAAATATAGCTCTATCTAAACAACTGAATATTTTTTTGAAGTTGCCCTTTTCACAAAAGAGTTTAAACAAATATATGTAAAACTTCCTCTGTGGTTAGTTTTTATGTAAATGGACGTGATTTGATTACTCCTGGGCACTGGCACATGCCAGAAGAGTGGTCAGAGCACCAAGCCTGGCAGAGTTCGAGAAGCGTTCGGACAACTCTGTCACGGACATGCTGTCACCCTTGTGGATGGTCCCGTGCAGTGCCAGGATTTGGAGTTCGATCTTTGTGAGTCCCTTCCAGCTCAGGATATTCTGTTAGTTCATGACTCTGTGAGGATCTCTGAAGAAAATTCAGTGCTTATTTTTCTCTTTCTTCTACAGAACTACCCACCTTATATTTCATCAGGCATCCCTTTCCTTGGTCATGCAATTGCATTTGGAAAGAGTCCCATTGAATTTTTGGAAAATGCTTATGACAAGGTACGTTTTCCCACAGGATTGGCTGAGCATACGCAAACATAGTTTTGTGTATCTATTAAGTTCTCTGTCTGGAGCCTGTTTAAAATCAATTTATTCTCATTTACCATCTCAAATATAGAATGGAGTGTGCACGGTAGGCTCTGCAATCTTCAGATCTCTATATGTAGCAGTAGTGTTTTCTGAGCTCTCGTGATTCACATCACAAATATGCTTGTACGTTTGGGTAATACTCATAGCTGAATCACAAGTTAATTAAAAAGTCATTTGCATGAAATTATTTCTTACTATAATTGGTAACCTTTACTCATATTCTTTACCAATCTGTGACCGAGTTGGAATGTAGCTGACTACCGCTGTGGGCCTCTCTGATGTTAAAAGAGCTGGTGCATAAAACCTCAGTAGTTTTTATACTGTAACAGCCCAGAAGGAATTAACTAAATCAGTAGAGCCTTAATTTCAATTAAATTAAATTTTATCAAGCTGTTTCACATTGTCTAAAACTAGAGTTATAAGCTTAAACCTTAGCTTGGTTAGTTTAGAGAAAACTGAATGTGATGCATGAAGATGCTAGAGATGACTAGAGATGACTTTTAAACTTCAAAATCATATTTGCCCCTAATTATCTATCCATAAATCCATAATTTTTTGAGACAGTGTTTGTAGATTACTGGGGTCAATATATGCTGCAATATCTCTGCTAGGTTTTTTTTTGTGTGTGACTGATCTTTTATTAATGTTTTCTAAAATAAATGGTTTTAAAATGTGCACGCTCGCATGTGTTCATTATAACATTAGATATCACTAGCGTGTACATAGAGAATGAATTTAAATGTGGTTCAAAATATATTTATCTTTATTAAATGTCTGGATACTTCTTAAGAGAAAAATTAATTTATGAAAGATTATACGGATAGGGATTTAATGATTTTTGTTCTTATTTCAAATAAATAGTTTTTTTGTTTATTCTCTCTCTTAGTATGGACCCGTGTTCAGTTTCACTATGGTTGGCAAGACATTCACATACCTGCTGGGCAGTGATGCTGCTGCGCTGCTCTTCAACAGCAAGAACGAGGATCTGAACGCGGAGGATGTGTACTCGCGGCTCACCACGCCCGTCTTCGGCAGGGGCGTCGCCTACGACGTCCCCAACGCGGTTTGTATTTTCAGTTCCATCAGGAGAAAAGCAGGGCAGCTTCAGTGCTGAGTGGGCAGCCCTGAGCTCTTGGCTCTGTGTGCTGGGGTTGTGTTTGTTTGTATGATCTGTACATATTGCAGTAGGTAAGCAGGATAATCTGGTGTGGATAATCTGGTATGTTCAGATTGCTTTGTTTACCACCTGGCTGTTTGTCACTCTGGATGTTATCTTTTGTTTTTGACACCATCTAATCTCACCACAGAGGAAAAACCAGTCAGTCACTTA